GTGCGAGCGTGCAGATGAAACGCAAAATAGGCGCCGAATAGCGCCAACAACAAAAACGAATGTCATATTCGTAATCAGGACCCCAAATAACCCCTATACAGAAGTTTACAGCGAATTTAGTGGGAATCAGTCGTGGCGCCACCTGGCGCCAAATGGCGCCAAATTGGCGCCAGCGCCAAAAATGAATATCATATTCGTGATCAGGACCCTCGATAACCCCCATAGCCGAAGTTTCAGCGAAAATTATTTTTTGACCCATCTCACCCCTACTGGGGTTGTAATAGTGCAATAGTGCCAATTCTTCTTTACACTGTAGCGCATTAAAAATAGCACAAAGAGGTGGAATGCATAAAACTTATCTGAAGAGAGCAATCAAACGAGTGAATATAAACAATGTTGAAGAGCCAGCAATAGGATATGAACCTAAATCAAAAGGAGAATAGAATAGCAACTGAGACTGAGGTGTTCAGCCTTAAAGTTTTCGACCCATTCATTTTTTCGAAACCTTAGATTTCATCATTTAAACGCAAGTCAATACCTGAGAAAACGCTCGTTGAATTTGGAGTAAAGAGTAAGAAATCTGTTAAGTAAAAATGTGAAAATCTAGAAGGGAGGAATGGCTCAATTTGTGAGAAGGTTTGTCGAAATAATTCTTCGTAACTTGTAGGGATGCAGTCAGAGACATGAAAATGAAAATTCTGCTACATGGTCTCGCACATGAAGCAAACGCGCTCCAATCGACTGATTTTTCCTCAATTTTTTAGAATTTGTTTTTTCTCGGAAGATGTCGTTGGTCATCTGAATAAAATGCAGGGTGGGGGGAAGATATTCGGTGCTATAATTATTACCGCCTACACTAATCCAAACTGCAGGAGCAGTGGCTCCGCGGTGGGTGTGAGAGTGAAGCATAATGGCTCACCCACCTCGAACCGCGAAATCCATTTCAAACAATTCCTATTGAGTTCTCACTCACGCCAACGGCTCCTCTCATATCTTTTTCAAATAGAATAAGTGGAATTTTTTTAAATAACTCACCCAACAGAAAGTCCCCAAATAAGAAGGCAAAATAAAGCAGCTCTTCGTTTCGACATGGACCTGTCGTAGTTGAGTGGCCAACGAAAATAAATTAACTGAAATTCACTGGTAACATGTGAAAATGAACGAAGTGTAAAGTGCTGATCACTGTGATCAGAATTAACCCGAACGTTTTTGGAGCTTATGTATATAATCCCCCGCCCTCATGGAGAGCCCGGGCTAGTAATTCCACTTCTATCTTTCTGGGATGTTCCTACCGTTGCAACCAAATGACATCGCCTAAAAGGCTCATTGGGTGGGGAGCGAGATGGTGCCGTTTGATGACGCCATTGAATGTCACTGGTGGACTGGATTCTTCAGTGCGCTGAGAACAGTGGTTGGGACCACCTCTTATTGATACCCTTCCACGAACGGCTACCAGTGAAGTCGTCAAAACCGTACCACCCTCCAGCCGTCGTGGTTAGTGCCTTTCAATCAACTGTAGCATTTTGCGACATAGCACGCAGGAGAGAGCGCGTATGGAGACGAAAACGCAGATGACTAGGGAGCGAGGACGGTAAAGATGTGAGGAAAATCTCAACTGATCATAATCACTCTGCAAGAAATATACCTTATCAATATTTAGCATGGTTAGCGACAATCCGGAGACTGCTAATCCTGTCCAGTTGAAATAATGAACTACAGCACACAAGTGAATTTGTTGGAGAAAATCGTGTTTCCGTATAAGTAATTCGTTTGGATGACAAAATACTGAAATGAGCAGTTGCATTAGATTTTAGCTCTTCATAAATACTTGAATAACATAACAGAGGAGAAATCGGTCGTTCCAGTGCCTGGTTCATTAAGCTGTGTAAAAAGATCAGGGTGAATAACGGTCGAGGAATTCCTCGACCATGGCTCTCTACTGTGCGAGAGTAGTGCCGAGAGTGAACGTACGCGCGGAGAGCACAGACGGCTCGCGCATGGCGAGTGTGAATGTCCGCGCGGGAGAGCGTAACTGATCAGGCAAAAATCCTCGACGTGCCGTTGAGGAATCCTCGACCGATATTCACCCTGCTTCATACCAGCCGATGAAGAGCATTGGTGTGAGCTGCAGCTTCTTGCAGCAGGTGGTCCAATTTCGCATCTCTGGACTTAACCAGTACATATAGCTATGCGTTCACAGGTTTTGCTAATCACGCTATCGGTTACAACATATCATGTCCAGCGAAACTGTTCAACTGTTAATAGTTTTGTCATAACTACATGCTGCATATCCAAATCATTTTGGTTGGCAGAGGAGGAGGGATAAACATTTGGACAGACCCTATCACCACAGGATTTTCAAAAATCCTTGAATACTACAAGTTCAAGGATTTTCGAAAACACCTCAAAACCCATTTATCAGCTTCGGCATTGGTGAAGCTGGAGAACATGCACTTAATGTGAATATGACATTTTCACCTCACCAGTTAATATAAGATCGCCGACAGTCATATTTAAGATGAAGAGATGCATCGTGTCACCACTTCGTTTAAACAGCTTCACCGCACAAAATATGACCATAACATTGAATACGGTAGCTGCCATGCTAGCCGCCAGAAGAAGGTCATCTGTCTGCAACGAAACAGAATTAAAAAAGGATTCACAACCGAAAATGGTTTCGATTCTGCATGTACTACTCGCATTCTTTTCCTTTGCCGAAAAGTTCCTTTATCTATAAAGTTTTTATTTTTACGTGAATGTCGACGAGCTGTTGAGCACGTCTTCAGCCATCTTGAAGACATATTCCGTGACCGATGGGTTATTGGCTTCGAATATGGCAGTAAATACGGTATTTGAATCGATCAATAATGAGCGAGGGCAAAACGCATTGCTAAAAGCTTTTAAACATTGCACCTTGGTGATATGGGCTGCAACAGCCGGAGTACGAGCACACTCGCGCCCTTCTTATTGATCAACCCCAGCTCCGTATCATACTTTACCGTATCAGTGGGAGAGCCGACCAATAAGAAGAGGCAGTCGTCAGGTTGCTGCCTTCCCCACGATCAACGCGAAATTTGACTTCGAGGGTTTCTAACAGTTTTGATTGTTTCCTTGCTTCCTTACATTTGATCCAAGTACCACGTTACCATTTGCTTTTGAATAGAGAAACTCACACACAATTTACCGTGCAATAGGCCTTTGATTGCGCAGCTACATCATTAGGTCATTCGTTTAGCTGGGGTAGAAACACTGTGAAGATCCGAAGTTTATGGCATAGAAATTCAAGTAGTCCGGCATTCGATCCCAAAAAGTTTCCTTTCCTTGCTATTTGCAAAGTGCTTGCAAATAGCAAGATTTTGATG